CTGGTATCAAAGATTCCAAAGTGAAACCGTGCATACGAGCCAGTTTCCCTTAGAAAGTCCTCCACGAAGGCATCCCTCCCTTTAGGCAGATAGCCCTCGAGGCTTTGCCATAATTAGATAACCTAACCTAACCAAAGTCAAACCAACTATTTTAACATGCGTAAATGCTGCAGGAATGCACAAGTGTAAACTTTCCATGATCGGAAAAAATAAACGACCTTGAGCACTAATGACGCAAAATTTGCCCTGAATGTATAATAACTGTTCAGCTCTCACTTCAATTATGTTTTTGTAAAAGATAATGTATCCATATTATTCTTTTCTCCAAACTGTATGTCCATCATTCAGCCTATGGGTATCAGAATAGTGTGTGCGCTGAAATACAAATATAACGTAGCATTTTAAAAATCCATGTTAAATTTCTTAAATGATGGCAAGACTATTCAAGAATATTTTAGCTTAAAATCTGCTGTGTTGAGCATCGTAAGACTGCGGAAGGATGTGTTTCCAGATATTTTTAAAAGTGCTTGTCATAATTTATGGCCAGCTACCATATTTCATGGTAGGATGATGAAGATGATAACCAAGAATTTGAAGGTTTTCAGATATTGCAAACCAAAGGTGAAATTTTTCAGTTAATGGATTTCGTAAAGAAATGTAGAGAAATGGTAATAAATGAAGATTATTACTGTTTCTCTACCTTGTTTTATTGCAATGAAACCCCAATCATGAATCAAGTAACAGATGGTGAAATTTGTAGTATGTTTCTAAATCCAGAAAATACCACTACCAATAATGAAGAAAGTGACAAAGAGGTTAATGGAAACAAAAAAAATTCGATTGACAACTTACTCGGAATGCTTGACACAGAAATAACAGGGCTTGAACTATAGAACTCTGTGACCAAACAAGAAATTATATCTGTGTATAGAATTAAAGAGAAAACATTAGCACAGAAAGCGAAGCAACTTAAACAATTTGCATTGAAAGAAATGTTTAATAAAGTAAACAAATATTTAGCTTTTCTTTTGTAAATTTTGTTATTGTTTACATCATAAATGCTTCATTATTTCATAAATCATGATTTCAGATTTTTAATTTTATAATTTCTACATGCTATAAAGTATTTCTCCTGCCCTCCTAATGTGGTGTAGTGGTTCTGCACGCTGGGCCGGTATTCCAGAGGTCTGTGGTTTGATTCCCGGTGAAGGTGATTGCTCATTTTTCATCTTGCCTGCTTCCAAAAAAATACCTAATGTCTCTGCAATGCTATCTTACTAGATTTAAACTGCTGATCTAATATCCGGAAAAATCCTAAATTTGGAATTCTCGAAGTCTCAAAGAGTCCGGATCTTGGACTTTGTACTGTATAGAATATTTTGAATCTGAAAAACAAACAAGATATAGTACTGCAAAACACAATTTATGAAACAATTCTTAGCAAAAGCAAAATTAGCTATGTAATTAATTAAAAATGTCTTCTTTTTAATGTTTTCATGGTTAAAGTTTTTCTTATGTAATTGTCTCAGAATATTCAAAATTCTCAGAATATGCTTCAGTTTTTTTCCTGTAAAATTAATTTTACACTTTTTTTCTCTGTTCCCCCTAAATATTTCTGGCTTTTTGCTGTTACAGAATTGGTAGGAATAATTTTTCTTTGGAATTTTAGGCATTGCAGCTTGTAAAGTTTAGAAGGATTTGAAGGCAAGATTTATAGACCCATGATTGTAGAAGATTCCAGAAAAATATGACAAAATGAAAAATGTCTTTATGGTATTAACACATTGTAGATGTATTTTACAGAAAGCTTGCGATGAATTTCTTACTTCTTGGAGAACGTCTGGAAGACCAATGGAAAACATAATATTTGAATGTTTTACTTCTGACACTAGAATCTTTTTCTTAGCTTGTTTACCTTGCCTTTTTTTTTTTTTTTTTTTTTACTTTTCACTAGACACAAGCATGGAAAATATCAAAAATGCTTCTAATCTTGTTACATGGACAGGCAGTATAGAGAGGAATTTTTATTAATAAAGAAATTGAAAGCTGACAATTTGAAAGATTTATCTAATATGTCTTAATACAAAGGGCTGGCACTAGGCATTTTCCCACCTGATGCAATAAAATTCTGCTGCCTGGTGCCTTTCTAAATTCATCTTCCAATGCCTGCTCTAAATTCTAAAGTTTGGCCATTTCTAGATTAACCAGCCCTTATCATATATGTTTAATATTTCCTCTAAATGTTCATATTACTAAAGAAATAAAATTAGCAGCTTTTTGTATACATTCTAAATGTATTTAGTTTTTTGAGAATAACAGAAATCTTTAATTAAATCCAAAAATTCTGAAATGAAAAAGGAACATGTTGAAGAAAGAAACTGAAGACATAAAAGAAAATTATTCTTCAAAGATATGTACAGTTATTATTATGTAAATTACCCAGTTGTCTATAATTTTCATTTTGGTTTCCTCATATGATAGAGTTACTAAACCAGCTTAAATTTAAATTAAATTGTATAGTCTTTGACAACTAGGTCACATTTTTGGTTTGAATATGACTGTTCTTTTTTAATCATTGCTACAAGCTGTAATTGATTTTGTTATCATCGGAACGAGACTTTATATTCGAAGTTCCTTTTAAATAAGAGACTTTTTTAAACCTTTGTGTGACTTTTTAGTTACTTTCAAACATAGTGATAATTTGCTTCACGTCTGTCAGGGGGATTTTGGACTACTTAACTTTTACCAAATCAAGTAAACCATCATAGGTACATTGTGGAGAGGTTGATGAGTTAGAAGATAAAGCATGCAGAAATTAGTGAGAACATGTTTGCATATTGAGACAAATTTCTGATTGTTAGAAAAGATGGTTAAAGAGAAGGAAATTGATATAGTCTGGGAAGGCTTCAAATTAAAATGACACATAAATATTTTATTGAGTGTTGTTGCTACAAAACATAAATGTTTTGTAGCTTTTAATGTGTTATCATTTATCCTCCTGTTATCATTTAAGAATCAATGGCATAAATTACATGTATTTTAAACTCTGAAATTTTATTAAATTGTAATTTTAATAGGGCTTTTTTAACAAATATTATTAAAAAATGAATAAAATTTAATAGTGGCCATGTAAATCCATAATGACTAAGGTTATCTACCTAATTTAATTATTTATAACTAACTGCTTACCCGTAAAAATTATCTTAAATTATTAAATATTAAAGCAATATTATTAAATTAAAGCGATTATTATTTAAAATTAAAGTGATATTTAATTATTATTAAAGCGAGTTATTGCCTTTCATTAATCCTTACCATAGCCACAAGATAAAACACAAAAATGTAAAAATTCATGTAAAACTTATTCTTTGCATCCAGTAAGACTTAAAATAATACAAAACATCTTATCACCTCTGGTGCTTTAGCGGCTTATTGGAACCTTAAAATACATTAACTGGGTTACAATCCCTGAAACTCTACATGAAGCTACGACACTAACTGTGTCGGACATATCCCAGCGAACTTGTGCCTATATCAGGCTTTTTAGGTTTGTTCTAATCAGCAAGTCTCTTTCTAGGCAAGCAGCAGTGATGACAACATCCAGTCTTTTGTTATGAATCATGCTAATTATGATCTTACTTCTCATTTTAACCTATGCCGCTTGACATAAAATCTACCTGCTATTTAATAAACCTCTAGACTGAGCAAGTATGTGACAAAATGAGGCATTAAAAAAAATCAACATAAAGCTAACTATTAGTAAAACATCATTGTCACTTACCTTCTTTCAAATATGCCCAATAATTGTAAGTGTAAAATATTTAATTATACTTGATAAATTTCATAAAGTTTATTTTATTCTCAAACTAATTATGTTAATTCATGTTTAATGATAATACATCCTACTCACAGATCTATTTTATATTTAGGATGGTATTACAAAAGTGAAGTTCAGGCATAGATAATATTTTTAATTGGATTTATTCAGTTCCCATTTGCTCATAGATATAGATCCTTAATTTTGTTCATTTATGGTCCTTAAAAGCACTTAATTTACGTGTGCAGAAGTGTGTGCGAACCCTGTAAAAAATGTCTTATTCTTGTGTAATTTATTGTCTTGCACTTCAAAGAGGTAAGCTCCTCTTTCAAGTGTGGGACCCACCAGTGACTGAGAAGTGAAATTGCTAAATGTTGGGAGTTCAATTTGGGTTGAAATTCCAGGGAATATGATAGCTACTTGGAACTTTATGTGGTTTTTGCCAATGCATATGTATGTACAACCCACTTTTCCTTAAAAGGTCTTTTCACGAAGGTGCTTATTAGGAAATAGTTTGTGGTAACTGGTGGCAGGTTGCACTGATGACTCTATGTAACGATTAGTACATTTGTGAGATTGTGTAATACATACTGCATTTTTTGAATGCAAAACATATTTATTACAAATTATGACAAGATCTATTACAAGTGGTGGCGAACCTTTTTGGGGCCGCGTGCCCAAAATTCAACCAAAACATACTTATAGCAAAGTTATACCAGCAAAGTGCCAACACTCCAATTGAACCTGAAAATAGGTGTTTGGCTTAGCAAAAGAACACACGCTTGTTTTAAGACTTAAAGAGAAAAAACAAGAAGGTAGTTTTCAACGAGACAAAAAACTGTACATTACCTGAAATAGATTGGTTTTGCGTTATTAATGGGATTTTTTTCTGTTGTATACATACTTATAATTCGTCAAACCTTGGCTCATACTTCATTAATTTGAGTGCAACACATGCAGCACTCAGGTTATCTGTCAGTCTCTTTCGTGTGTCACATTTGATATAATTCAAAGCTGAAAACAGCTGTTCACATGCATAAGATGATCCAAACAAACTAAGAATAGGAAACCCGAGTATTTTCATTGATTTAAACTTATTTGGCCGAGAATTCCATACTTTAAGGATTTCATTTTTATAACTATCAATTGTGCTGTCCTGTGTGATCTCTTTACACTCCATCTTCTAGAGTGTTGCATGCAGATCAGATAATTTTCTTTTCCACGTAGAGCTTTCTTGAAATTCCAATAGCTCCATTTCCAGATTTTCAAAATCTAACCATTCTAAGCAAGAAAGATTAAGTTCTTCAAACTTAGATTTATCTGGAGAAGTAAGAAAACACATGGTTGTTTCCATTTGACAGAACTGTAGAAATATGCCATTAAAATTCTCCTTTGCAGCTGCTACGATGCTAAAAAATTCCATGTAGATTTCTTCATGACTTGAAGGATTGTGTGCAAATTGTGTAGAATTTTCTAGATGCATCTTTAGATTTGGAAAATATTTCGTCTGTCCACTTAGAAGATCTCTTTCAAAAACATGCAGTGTTTTTATATTGCAAAACATCCCTTCTGCCGTTTTTACCAAGGCTTGAAGTTGCTTGTTCAGTACATTGAAGTGTTGTGTAAAATCTGTTAAAAACCTAGTGTTGTTAAGCCAGACCATATCAGTAAGCTGTGGATAATCCTGGCGTTTTTCATTCAAAAATAGACTAATTTCATCCAAGCAGCTTATATATCTCTCTAAAACCTGTCCTCTGCTTAACCATCGGACATTATTATACATAAGCAAAGTGTTATACTGTTCTTGAACCTCATCAAGAAGTGCTTGAAACTGTGGACAATTAAGAGCTCGAGCCATGATGTAATTCATCATTTTGTTGACATCTTTGGGAACATCGTCTATTATTTCGCAGCTGTCTCTGGCACATCGAGCTTCTTGGTGAATGAGACAATGAAACTGAAAACTGGATGTTTTGCTTCTTCAGCAAAGGAACTGTATGAAACCAGATGTTCCCAGAATGCAAGGCGCACCTTCACCAGTAATTGAAACTACTTTTTCTTGTCTTATGTCTTGTTAAAATAAAACTTCCACCAAAGCATTGTAAATATCTATTCCTTGTATTCTTTCGGGCAAAGATGCCAATTTAACCAGCTCTTCTCTCATCGTATCGCCAAGAGAATAGCGCAAAATGATTACTAACCTTGCATGGTTATTTGTATCTGTGCTTTCATCCAAGCACATTGAGTAACAGGCTGCCTTTTGTAAGTCAGTGGTGAGCTGCTGACTAGTATCACTTGTCATCTGCAGCACTCGATCTTAAACAGTATTTCTGCTAATCGGGCATCTCAGCGATGCGTTGTTTAATTTGGTCCTTATTTGGGAAGTCATGAAAACGGGAATTGCTCCCAGGTAACATGACCTCTTTGATTAAATCCCCATAGGAAAGCGGTTTACCATGCTTTGCCAGGCACAGTGAATTTTGAAAGCTGGCCGTTTTTAGATGGTTTGTTTTAGAAAGATAATTGCAAAAACCAACTTTCTGGTAACTTTTCTTTTCTTTGCTAAATTACTAAATTTAGATTTCATATGCTTCTTTTCGGCTTATTTTGGCTGAGCGCATGTAAAGATTGGTTTCCCTACTAAGCTTTCATGTTTTCCTATATTATCAAATTGCATGTTTTTACATTATATTTGTACATTCCGTTTAAGATATTAAACGAGAATTATAAGTTACTTCAAAATGCTTAGATCTGAAAGCTGGAATCTATTTAACAAGGAAAGTATTAAATCTCACCGGCAGTCTGTAACAACTCTGAATTCGTTTAGCAAACATTAACTGCTTCGACTTTCGCGTATTCTTTGCCAAGTAACAAGTAATATGATTGACTCAAACAATTGAAACGTCATAAATTGGGTCAATAAATAAGTATATCATTTCTATGGCGATGTATGAAAATCTTAGATCTAGACTAGCTATACCAGTGGCATTATGCGATAAGTAAGTAAGTGAAACGTTCAAGAACGGAGAAACACTTTTTAAAATTACATAGCATCATTGTATTGTGATTATTGATTAAGGAAGTAATATTTTAGTCGCGTGCCGGCTGATGAGGCTCTGCGTGCCGACTGTGGCACGCAGTGGCGTAGCTAGGGTGGGGCAAGAGGGGGCATCTGTCCCCGGGCGCAGCTTCCAAGGGGCGACAAATTGATGCTACAAATTTTTTAAAGAAATGTTTTCCATTCTTGGCACACAGAAAGGGGCGCAAATTCTTCAGTTGTCACCGGGCGCTAGAAACACTAGTTACGCCACTGGTGGCACGCAGAGCCATAGGTTCGTCGTCACTGCTCTCTTACATATTTACAATAATATGGAAAATATAGAATAGTTAATGTAGGTAAGCTTACTGTCCTCGTTATGTCAGGATCTGTTGATGGTGGGTCTCACTAGTCAAGAGTTCAAGTAGAGATTGACTAAGGCCATATGGGGCAGTTGCCCCGGTCCCCCAAATTGAATAGAAAGTTTATTATTATAAAAATTCAAATGCCTCCATAAAATTCGATCTTCATTAGTAAAGCAGAGGGGGGCCCACAAACAAGTCTTTGCTTCGGGCCCCAATTAGGCTAAAAGAACCATATCCATTAGTGCGTTGCGAACGCGTAGCGTCATTGGGAGAAACACAGACGAAAGACCTTTTAAACTATTGCGTTGTATTTATGCGTACGGAAGTTCGGTGGTTAATTGCATTTATTGCCACCAGATGTCTCTGTATTTAACTTACGAAATTAGGACTCTTAAGATATTTAATTCCACGTTTTTTGAAATTTTTATTTCTGCTTATGAACTGTGAAAGTAAAGTACGTTAGCAATTTTTAGATAAGTAAGGTTATAATGCATATTATGATCATCACTAATTGCTTAGAAGGTGAAGTAAATTTTAAAAATTTCTTTGCGTTTCTAGAAGCCTTAAATATTAATGAAATAATAAATATATTATAAAACTAAAATGTACTGTTACTGAAAAAAAAATAATAATAATAGTAATAAAAAAATAAAAAAAGTCAAACGAATTAAAAAATAGTTGTTACTTTAAAAATACAGAGCAACTGTAAAGAAAGGTTCACAATATTTACACAAAATTTTCTATGCGTGTAATACCGTTGACTACCATGTGAGATTGTGTTAAGGAATATTCTTTGATATCGCCAAGAGATGGTGTTAGGAGTCCATCTTATTGGCTTACTTGACCTTTCCCCTTCTGAACACGTGACTTGAAAAAATCTTCTTCTTGAAGGTAGAAGAATTCGATGCATTACCGCAATAGAATTCGATTTAGATATTAGCTGGAACTATTCAGTTATTGCCTTTTGAGCCTTAAATATTCGATTCAGGCATTTAAGCCAACATTGTATATATGTAAATATTAAGCTTAATTAAAATTTATGGAAAACCCTCCAGGCCATGCATTTCGTCTTTTGGATTATGAGTGATTCGACTTTGATCTAGAACTTTCGTTACATATAATGGTGCCTCGGCTCCAGAAAAGAATCTGATTAATTTGAAAATTTGTGTTTTTCGCCTTTTGGATTAGCTTTGTAAGCGAAGACTTCTCACGGTAAGTCTCCTTTGATAATTTATTAAAATGGAACAGAAGACACTAATTAAGAATCGAGCACATATACGTGCTTCTGTAACTCAAATTATAAAAATGTAGATGAGTATTTAAAAGAAGAAAATCAAGAAGAGTTAGAAAATTGTTTGGAATTGTTAAATAGTAAAGAAACGGAACTACATGATTTTAAATGAAAAAATACAAAATTTGATTGAAGATGAATCAAAATTAGATTCAGATATTAACACTTCTATGGATATAACGATAAAATAATAATTAGCGAAAGTCTAAAATCAACCGCTATTTAAGGAAATACAATACTCAAAATATCAACACGAATTTAAATAATTCATCTACAGAAGTTGAAACCAAAAGACAGATTAGAAGGCAATGTTGAAATTGGCCCAAACCAAACTTCTTAATTCACAAATTTTCCGGAGATTATAACGATTGGATGAATTTTTGGAATTCATTCAAGGTCACTATTCATGATAATGTTACACTTTCGAAGATAGAAAAAATTTAATTATTTGAGAACTTATTTATGTGGAAACGCACGCAGCATCAGCCATAGAAGGTCTCTCAATTTCAGAGGCTAATTATGACTCTGCTATAGACATTCTTAAAAATAGATTCGGTCAAAGTGACCTTATTATCAATACACACATTTCTAATCTCTTAAATTTAAATCCTGTTCAAAGTTCAAGTGAAGTGGCAAAATTGCGAAAACTTTATGATACAATTAACGTTCAAGTCAGAAGTCTTTTAGCATTCGGTGTTAAACCAGAAACATATTCCAACATGTTTATTCCAATTTTGACGAAAATTGTCCCGAACGATATAACTAGAATTTCATCGTACAAATACTGAAAATCCTTCAACCTATGATTTAAACAAATTTCTAGACTTTCTCGACTTTCTCCGATTAGAAATAGAATCGCGAGAAAAGATTAATTCGTTATCCTTTCCACGCAAGTCAAACCCGGAAATGAAAGGTATTAAACAGATATCCACCGACGCCGAAACATAAAACAAACTGTCACCACACATGAATTATGGCAGCAACCGCGTCATCATCAAATCGAAACTGCATTTTTTGTTTCCAAAACCATGACTCAGAGTCCTGTTTATGCCTTACAGTTAATGAGAAGAGAGTATTTTGAAAAAAAACAAGCGCGTTTTTTCTTTGTTTGGCCCCTAAACACAAAAATCTCACAGTGCCGGCAACGCCAAACTAAAGTTTGTAAAATTTGCAAAGGTAAACATTCAGAAGCCATATGTTTTAAAATCCAGTTCGATAGTTAAAAATACACCAAGTGATAAAAGGATAGTATATCAATTTCGAAAAAAATGATACACAAAACTAAGGAACAGAAAGAAGAAATTGTTTCGGCCGTTTCACATAATGCAAATAATACAATTCTTTTACAGACTGCACTTGCACGATAAAAGTTAAAACAGCTAAGGAAAAGAAAAGGTGTTTGCCAGACTTCTCTTGGATAGTGGAAGTATGAAAAGTTTTTGTGCTCGCGAGTTAGCGGACAGATTAAACCTCGAAGTCATAAGAAAAGAAAAATTGACTGTCTACACTTTTGGGAATACTTCTCCCATCCAAAAAAAATTATGACGTAGTTAAATTAACTTTAGAACATAGAAGTTCTCCCGATTCTAGAATAGAAGTTGAATTATTAGTAACTGATCATATATCAGGTACAGATATTCCACCTCCTAAATCAGAAGAAATTAAGAAATTAAGCAAAACAGACAATTAAAAAATTTGCTGCTCGCAGATTTTCCCGATTGTAAAAAAAAAAACCATTGCCATTCTAATTGGTGCAGATTATTATTACAACATAGTAATGGGACACGTTAAATACTTAAGCAAAAATCTTGTTGCAGTGGAAACTATTTTCGGCTGGTGCCTACATGGACGAAAAGGTGATGATGATGTCTCTTTAGCTTTCAATGTAGTTGTAGGGGAAAGATTTGATTTTCCAAACAAATAACAAAATTTTGGGACTTGGAAAACTCAGGACTTATTGATAAGAGGGAAAACTTCGATTCAACTGAAAATGAAGTCGTCGAATATTTCGAATCAAATATAACATATGAAAATTCTCGCTATAAAGTTAGATTGCCTTGGAAACATGACACATCAAATCTAAATAATAATAGGGGGAAATCGTGGCAGAACAAAGATTCATCGACATCGACTTAGAAAACGATTTTAAAAAAGATCCTAATCTA